ATGGATGGATGGATGGATGGATGGATGGATGGATGGATGGATGGAAAATAAAGGCCTAGCAGTCTCTAAGGAAACATGATGTGCTTCAAAGTAGAGTTTCAAAGATCCTCCTGTTGAAACAATACAATTAATAATAAAAACATAATGTGTAACGTCACATATACTGTAAGGTGTCTCAAAGTGTGTGTTGTGAATGAGTCTCAGCTACTACCACGCCAGAGTTTAGCCCAGTATCTTTAAAATTTCTTGAGTTGGAGCCATTTTGTTTTGGCCACATTTCATATTTTGTCGTGTGGCATCTAGATAGCAATAAATTTTACAAACCAAATTGTGGAGATCCATATTTCCGTACATATTTTGGGTCATGACTTCCAGTAGGAAAGATGTGTTTTCACTGAGAGCTCACCTCTTAGTGTCTTCATTTTAATCTTATTGTGATTTCCTCCACACAAAACAAAACTGCAAAGTGAAGACTTCTAAACCAATCTGTGCTTGAAGCATACTCAAGAACATTATTTTTCTATTCTATAAAACTTCCTTGCAACCTGAGGAGACTACCAGAACTTTAGGCCTTAGTCTGCCTAATGTTAAAACATTAATAAATTAACAGTTTCCATCTGTGCTCTTTCAGTTAATAATGACTCATCTTTCTTCTTTGACATGCAGTTGAGTAATTTTGTAAAACTTTACTGTGACTCATGGTTATTTAACCCATTATTAGGGCACAGATAAATACTAATTTAATGTTTGTCTTCTTGTGATAATATGAATGTCAAAACATTTGATTTACAAACTAAAATAAATCAAAATTATAAACTTGCAAGCCCGAGTCACAATTTCCAAAATGTCCTGTCTGATCCAAGTGGGTCAACCTTCAAAGGTTTCTGAAAGGTTAAAAATGCAGAAACCAATAAACCAGGTTGCTTGTTTCGTGGGTTTTTAAGTAAAATATAAACTGCCTTGTGAAGCTCTCACTGTAACTAATGGGTACTTGAAGAAGTCATGGTACAAACTCACCTCCAGGGCCAGCACGCTCTCTGCATCACAACAGATAGTTGAGGTGGAAAGAAATAGATTTAATTTTTAATACCTTAGCAAGTAAGAAACCAGACTGAGCTATTTTATTTTTCATTACAGATTGGTGTTTGTGTTTGATTTTATAAAAGCTGATCTTGAAAGGGTGATTCCACGTGCGTCTGTGCAGTTTTAAACATTTTACATCTGATGCTTACAAACATGAAAAGGAAAAGTGCCAAGCACTTATGCACCTTTTAAAGTTTTTTTTTTCATTGTATGTAGTTTCTGTTAGCAAATTACATTCTTGTATGTATATATGACATCTGTGAGAGTGAATGTGCACATTTTCAGAAATATGTGAGGAACATGTTATAAAAAGTTATGAATTATTACACCACCAAAGGCAAATTTAATTTAATGATATAATGATAATGGTTTTGCCTGTGTGAGTGTTTCTTTGTCTGTGGGGTTACATGAACTAATGGAGGATTTTTTTTCGTACAAATAAATAGGAAAGGACAACTTGGAAAACTGAAATAAGTTCAGAGAATTGCAACACAAAGCGTTTCTGACGAGTAATTATTTTTAACATGAATATGTCATATTTAAATTGGTTTGAAACAGCACCCCCTTGTGGACTCTGCGAGTTATTTCATGTGAAATACAGCAAGAAGCATCAGAAAAGTTGTAAAATCCCACTGCGAGCTGTTCTTCACTCAAAAAGTGCATTATTATGTCAGAAAGACAATACATGTCGCTGTGATAATATTTTCTGTCGTCACACACAGCCTCAGTAAAATAAAAATATAAAAACTTACTCAAAATAAGCAGTATGGGAATTCACTCAGGCATGGATGCTGTTTGTATCTTGTATGTAAGTATATAGATGTATGTGCATGCATGTATAATATGTATAAAATAAGTATACAGTTTGCACATTACGTGTTGTATCTGCACAAGAATTGGATCTTCTGCTCTAAACACCCAAATCTTTAAAATTTCTATAAATGATGTACTCCTACGCTGCTCTGGGGAAATTAAATTACATTTCGTCCAGTTTTGCATGGCACTGTACAATTTTGAACGACATTAAAGTTTATATTTATTTATTTGTGTATTATTTAGCAGGCTTTCTACTGGAGTTACATCCGGTCAAAGTTGTTGCTAAGCAACCAAGGACCAAACAAGCACAAGAGCGGCTCGACGTTTTAGCATTTTAGCTCGCTTAGCTAAACAAAAATGAACAAGTTTAGCTCACCGCTGGAGATTCGGTTATCTTTTTTTAATTTTTTATTATATTTTGTTATGTTATTTTGAATATACTAAACAAATGGCAGGGAAGAAGAAAGAAGCGAGCCTACAGGTCGGTTAGAGCGCAGTTTCTGTGAAACACTCCTTTGCCCTTGATTTAAATGTTTTTAACCGCTGGAAGCTAATTCAGTTCGGCTCTTCTTGTTCAGGCATCTGTCACAAACCAAGAACAATGGGAAGAAATGCTAGCTACAAAAGGTTTAACAGGTGATAAATCAGTTGTTGATAAAGTGGTTGTTGTTACAGGTTGTATTTTGCTGCCCCCTTGTGTTCATTCGGATAACTGCACCAGACAACCTTCCTGTCTCTCTGGTCTCCTATGATGTCAACACACTTTGTTTGCAGTTGTAGATGTGTACCAACAGTGGTGTGGGCCCTGTCGAGCTGTGGTTAGTCTCCTAAGAAAAATAAAGAACGAACTGGGGGATGACCTGCTACATTTTGCCACAGTAAGTCCTGAGTAGGTTAAAAGAGTACGTTTGTAGAGAAGAGGAGCTGCTTTGACTCGTTTGTGTGTGATGCAGGCTGAGGCAGACAGCGTTGATGCTTTGGAGAGGTACAGAGGAAAATGTGAGCCTACCTTCCTCTTCTATGGGGTGAGTGGGTCTATTTTGAGTAATAACATTTTATAATGCAACCTGCAATGTTTACTTTAGGATTAACCTGCTTTTTTTAATTACTTTAAGCCATTTAATGTCTGTTTTATACAGGAAAATGTTTCAAAACTGTTGTATTTTACAAGTGGTTACTAATTTCCAGTGTAAAGCACACGTTTGCAACCTTTACAACCAAAAGAGACGGTTCTGCGTCTTCTCCTGCCTAAAAACATACTTATCACTTGAAATAAAGATAACAGAACTCATTAAGAGTTTTAAAAGTGCTAAATGGAAAAAAAAAAAAAAAAAAACATTATACAATTGAAGATCTGTTATAATTTGTTGACATTCACTTGCATTTTTACTTGTTTGAACAAAAAACAGCCAAACTCCTATTCAAAGAACTTAAACACTGAACTGTGCACGCTCACGAGTCAAAATAATTATGGAAAATTAATAATGTAAAGGATCTCATTTAGAAATAATAAAGTATTCTGATAAACTAGAGTAATGAGGCTAGTTTATTGGGCAGTTAATCATAAAGGCAAGTGTTTCCCTTTTAATTGTTATTACCAAATTACTTGCCATTATTTTTGTAAAACGTCTCATTTGTAGTGAACCTGATCTGACCCTGATCTGACCCTGATCTGACCCAGATGACCTCAAATCTATCAGATGGACAGGGACTGTTATTTCATTGATCTGAATACAGTCTGAGCCATCTGGTGACTTTCTTTCTTGAATTAATCAAGCAGAAAAGACAATTTTTATAATCATCACTGTTTTACAAATGTTTGATAATCAAAATTGTGTTAGTTCACTCAAAGTTACAGGTTGAAGAGAACTACTCATTTTTATTTTTACATAAACAGTAAGTAATGATTTTTATTCCTCATTTAAAGAAGAAATCAGGTTAATATGCATTTCTTGATTTTCTGTCTGAAATGAGCCAAGTTTTGTAAGTATGTGAAAGGTCGGTTTTCGGTCAACTAAAATGTTTACCGAGAAAGATGTCATGTTTAAACTTTTGCAGAAGATTATAAGTGTGAGACTCCACGAAGTCTGAAGTCCTACAATAATCTTTCTGTTTGTTACTAAACAATCCTTGACTTTTAATAACATCTTACATCATAAACCACACCTCTATTCCTGGTCCATCGACCAATCAAAAGCTCTCAAATGAACCGGAAGTCGACCCATTTAAAATGTGGCAACTTCCCAGTTCATGTGAGAATTCAGTAGAATTCCAGAGAATTCCAGAGCCTGAGGAGATGAAGAACTCCAGAGTTGCTGGAGTTGAAAGATTCTGTTAGAGTCTGAGAAGTTCTGAAGAATGAAAGGAGTTCAGAGTTCTTGGGTGCAAACGCGTTCAGGATGATCCAGAGACGTTTTGGGATTATAACTTCTGTTTGAACAAACCACGCACGACTCTCGAAGGATTTCAGCTGCTCTCAACGGAGACGCTGAAATAGTCGGAAGGATTCTATACCGAGCTGATCTACGTCAACCAGGTAACAGTTTCTATTTGACTAAAGTGTACCGGAGGCAAGCTGAGATCTGATGAAGCGTGCACGTTCTGGACAAACAGATTAATTCCCTCACATATCTCTCTGTAAGATAAATCTCCATTTCATCTTAAAACTCTCCTCTATCTCATAAAATCAGTACAGATATTTTAGAAATATCTGAAGCAAAGTCCTCAGTCACCGCCGCGTGATTGAAGTTCATTTTCTGTGAAATTTGTCTGTTATTATTTTCATATTTTGCCAAATTAATGTAAATGTTTGATGTTAAATTTTGATTCTGAAAATAAATGACCGCATTCATTTTGATGGGTCAAAGATAAATAACGTCTCTCGTTACATTTCTGTTAAATTCAATGCACGACATTACACAGTCAGAAAGATGAGGAACTCGTGAATATTGTATGCATATATATCTCATATATTGTCATACTACACATTTATGGATATTATAGTTTATAAAATGGGTGCAAAATTGCTCTTTTTTCCCTCTTAGCAGCTTACTTCAAAAATGTGTTAAAAACATTTGTATTTTAGACAAAAGATGCTTGAGTGTGTCTGGAAGTTGGAAATAAGGAAGTGGCTAACAGGCTCACAAATCACTAACACACACTGATTTCTCCTCGTGTTATTGGTATATTTTTGTCTCAGAAATTATATATACATATTTGCATAGACAGAACAAATGTTAAAACTTTCTTTTGTAGTTATGAATATAAATAATATCAATGGCATGTTAGTTTTTGCCAGAGCTACAAAGAACCATTAAACAGTTGTGGCCCCGTTAGAGATAATGTTTGTGGGACTATTTTTCACTCAGCCGGTGACATCTTGTGTCCATTTTCATTAGTTTTGTGTTTTGTTTTTACTCACTATAGCTAGAAACACTCTTATTCATGAGCGTGTTCTTGTTTTAGATAAAATTATTAATTGTTGACTGTGTTTGTGTTGCGTGAACAGGGAGGTGAGCTGGTGGCTGTGCTGCGAGGGGCTAACGCTCCCATGCTTCAGAGGATGGTTGTGGAGGAACTGGCTAAAGAGAAACTTGTTCTGGACTCAGGCGGTGGACGCAAAGTGGTGAGCAGTGAGACACACATGGGGTCATGTAACAATAGTGTTTACACAAAAAGAATATTTACAACAAAAGCACAAGTTATTAGCAGTGTGTTTGAATTGAAAAACAGACCATAAACACACTTGTTTCTTTGTTCTTTTTTCTTTAATAGAATTTTCAGATTGCAGAAGATGCTTTGAGCTGCCAGGAGGCCATTTTTCATATCACCGTGATGTTTTCAATTGCCAAATAAACAATTAATCAGTAACTCTAAAAGGGCACTCGAAGTGTTTCTTGCTTATCTAGTTTGAAGACAAGAGTTACTAATCTGCAACAAAGAGTTTATTCATGTGTTAACTGGAAGTCACATTCTGGTTTACATTGTTTGCATCAGGTTTTGTTGTGTCTTTCAGGTGAAAGATCTGTTGGTTGATGAGAAGAAAGAAGAAGACGAGATGCCATCAGAAAATGAAGAAAGTATAACTGGTACTGTGTAAACTGTTTAATTAACTTTTATAGCCTTGTTATATCAGATTTATTGTTGCTGTAATTGTTGTTTACGGATTATTCTGTCTGCGTTTTTACATCATGGATGATAAATCACTTGTCTCTCTCTGTAGTTCCTGCCAGTAGATCCTACACGGTTGCCATCATAAAACCAGATGCTGTTGCTCATGGCAAGGCAAATGAGATCATTATGAAGGTACACAGATGAACCGTGTTCACATTTTGAGGAGACAGGATTGTCTCAAGCCTTCCAGCTGGCACTCATCTGTTCTGTTAACATAACCTGGACAGATTCGAGATGCTGGCTTTGAGATCCTCGCGCATGATGAGCGCACCCTGACAGAGGCTGAGGCTCGAGAGTTTTACCAGCACAAAGCAGCAGAGGTACGACAACGATGATTGAAAGGAAACAGATTAAATTGTTGCATATGTAGAAACAGGGCACGTGCAGCATAACGTCTATGTCAGGATGACACTGGCATGCATTACCAAAGTCAAGGTGAAGAAAACTGATGATGGTGCAGTGAATGTTTTTGAGGATACATTAATATTCTGAGCCAACATACTAATGTGAGTGAAAAAATAATTTTTAGTTACTCCGCAATATGTTTGGCATCCATCTGCATTTCCACACAGGGCTCAAAATAGAGTTGCTGTGTAAGCAGCTTTTTTTTTTTTTTTTTTGCTTATCATGCTTTTATTATGATACCAAACAGCTTGAAATTTAGCCAAGCTTTGCACGTAAGAAAATGTTGGCAGGTAAATAATAATGTTCAGTTAAGTGTAAAACTATACATGACTATTCACTGAATTTACATTAAGTCAAATTAAAAACATTGTTGAAGCGTAAGTTTAGGAAAAAAATTCAGGATTCCAGTTGGATAGATGTGCCTGCTGCTCGTGTATCTTCTCTGTGTTTGTGGTTTTCAGACTTGCTTTGAGGACTTGGTGCAGTTTATGTCCAGCGGTCCTTCCCATATTCTGGTACTTTCTCAAACGGGGAGCTCAGCCAACGTTATACCAGCGTGGCGTGAGCTCATCGGCCCGACAAACATCGAGGAAGCCAGGAGAGAAAACCCAGAAAGGTTTGTTAAAGTGTAGCATTTCAGTCACCATCTTTCATGCCAGAGTTTGACCTTTTCTTATGTTAAGCAATAAAGGAGTTGAAGTGATTTTCATCTAAATAATATCTTATGTGATGGTATCACACTGGGAGTATTAGTTATGAATGACTCAGCTGCTGCCACAAGAAAATGCATCTTCATATCTGTTACATCAATCAAGTTTTCGTAATCTTTGTTACCCGAGGTCAATAGGCTGTGATGGCCATCGTGGACTGGACTGACTAAAAGAGAATCACTAGTAGATCTGATGATTACTTTCTGAGAGTTTCATTAAAATTTGTCCAGCGGTTCATGATATATTTCGCTAACAGACACATGTACATGCATGGATAAAAACGTTAATGTCTGCTTTCACCTTTCAGCAGTGGTCAGTAATAAAAGTTGCCCGATTAGCTTTGATGAAATGTTTGTAAGGTATATGTTCAAAGTGCAGATTTCTGTTAATCCCAACATATGGAAACAGTCTCAGCTTAGAGGCTGGAACGGGGAATGAACAGCACATTCTCGCCTGCTTGATCAGACACACCCAAACATTATGCTTCTCTTTGGTCGAGCACCAGCTGAGCAACCATCTGGTCCTACCCTCCTTCCTCCCCCACCCGGCTTCCTACAGCTTGCGGGCACAATACGGCACAGAGACTCTGTTCAACGCCGTGCACGGCAGTGAGGACAGTGACCAGGCCAGCAGGGAACTTGCCTTCTTCTTCCCCAACTTCAGGACGACCTCAGTAGCGGAGCAGGATGGAGAGGAAGAGCGTGTGGAGAGGACACTGGCTCTCATCCGGCCTGACATTGCCAGGGAGAACAGAGGTGGGGTTCAAGCCAAATGCTCCTGAGTGAGAGCGCACACGAACACAATCACTGTCCTTTTTAATGATACAGTCTGAACTGCTTGAAATATGTCAGCTTTGCCTGTACTGTTCAGGTAAAACGTGTTAAATCATTGCCTGTTTGCACTTTTGCAGACGAGATCGTGGCCCAGATTCACAAGTCAGGCTTCACAGTTGCCCTTCAAAGAGAGGTGATGTTGACAGAGGAGCAGGTCAGACAATTTTACTTCCAACACGCTGAGGAAGACTACTTCCCTGCTCTACTGCGAAGCATGACCAGGTAAAATGGACCTTTTCTGCAATCAATCTAAACATCCTAAAGCAACTGCAGGCATTTATTCCCCCTCTGTAATTACAGTGGGCCAGTGCTCACTTTGGCTCTGGCCAGACAAGGGGCAGTTCTTCACTGGAAGAGTCTTCTTGGTCCTCCAGATCTTGATAAAGCCAAAGAGGAGAGTCCTGAGTGGTGAGTGATGACTTTGTTTCATTCAGCAGCTGACAAAAAGAGCAAAGAGTCACCGTGGTGTAATTAGGAGAAGAAAGGAAGAGGATCTTTCCCTGAAAATATGTGACAGCTTGTTAAATAAAAATCTCCTCTCGACCTTTTACTTTCACCATGTCAAGTTTTTGATGAAAAGAAGAAAGTAATTTTGTGCTGTTCTCTAATTAAACAAGAATAAAATTGTTATATACTAGCCTCTTTCAAAGAGCAAAGCCATTACGTGTCAAAAATGTTGCCTTTTTCTACCTGCAAAGCATTATATTCCCTGCAGCCTCTGTGATTTGTCAAAAGGGTCCAAAATTGTAAAAAATTACCAGAAGGCAAGATGACAGGATGAGCTGAAGTGACTACAAGTAAAGAAAATTACACTTTTCCTCCAAAGAAACAGCACATTTTAGAAATTATACTCCTTCATCTTAAAATAGAATTCTGGAAACCATCAATGTTTATAGAGGAGGCGCGGTAGCTCGGTGGTAGCTCACCACGTTCTTGTAATTCTGAGGCTGCAGGTTCGAGCCCAGGTTGCATCAGGAAGGGCTTCCAATTACCAAATCTGTCAGGCAAGTTGAAGCACCCCCTGAAGCAGGGAGCAGCTGAAAGAAAAACATCACGTTTATTATTCAATATGCATGTCGCTGGATCGCACGTGCCCTTTTCACATAACGCACATGTACAGTGAAGGTTTCTGTGTCCCTCGTTAGTCTAAGGGCCCAGTTTGCTGTTGAAAATGAGCCCATCAACCAGCTTCATGGCAGCTTGAGCCCCGAAGACGCAGAACGAGAGATCAGCTTCTTCTTCCCTAAACAACACACGCTGGCAGTGATCAAACCTGACGCCATGGAGGAACACAGAGGTGCATCCTGGGGTTTACAGCACAGAAACATTAAAGTTATTTTAATGTTGTGATCATGTAACTTTGTTCTCTCAACTCTAACAGACACAATCTTAGAGGAGATCCGTGGAAGAGGCTTCACCGTAACGCAGCTGAAGGAGACCGTGCTGTCAAGAGAAATGGCTGAAGAGTTTTACAAAGAGCACAGAGAGAAGCCTTTCTTTAATCAGCTGGTGGAGTTCATGTGTCGGTTAGTTCGTCTCCGCACACAATCACAGGAACAGCACAAAGAGACACAAGAGATTGGTCATTTGCACTTTGAATATCTGTGAAGTCCCGTTTTGTTCACAAGTAAAAAGGTAATTTACTATAGCAGTGAAACTGCTAAAAACATGTTTTTCTTTCAATTTATTTCTTGAGTTCATTAAAAAAAATTAAATATTAGGACTCCAAGGAAAATAGGAGCAATTTTAAGATTTGGCAGAAAATGGTTTAGCCTAAAAGGCACAGCAGTTATTAAAAAAATCTGTATGCCTCTTTTATGATTGTCCATTGTTGTCATCATTCTTTGTTGAAATCAGGTCTCTCTTGTAAATGAGTCCTGGAGGCTCAATGGGATTAACCTGACTAAATAAAGGTTGAATTACTTCAGTATTATGACAGAAACTAAGAAAATTCTCAACAAAGGTTACCAAAATAACAAAACTGGGAAGGATAACAGAAATGTCTTTGTAAAAATATCTAGTTTCATATCTGAGAAATAATTTTACAACTCCTCGATCACATCTTGTAAATGTACATGACAATCAGGATTTTTTTTTTCATGTCTAAATGAACTTTAAAGAAAATAGCCTTGACACACCGTAAAAGATGTTTATACCAGAGATTACCAAGAGGGTCTTCTTCATGCTACACTTAATATAAACTATCTTCACTTCTAGTAGTTATACAAGCAACATACACACTGCTGCCTTCATATTATTCATTTTAAAATGTTTACTGTACCATCAGAATACTTCATCAGTAAATCAAAGATGTGTAGATTAAAACTGACCTGATTGTACATAAACTATCAACTTCAACAATAAATCTGTAGGGTAGCAATCCACTGAATATACCGCTGAGATTTAATCTATAGTATATATATATTTATATATATCATACATCTTGTTTGTCCAGAGGCCCCTGTGTGATGCTTGTCCTGACCAAAGAAAACGCTGTTGAGGAGTGGAGGGCAATGATGGGCCCTACTGACCCAGAGAAAGCAAAGGAAACCTCCCCAAACACTCTGAGGGCCCGATTTGCTGCAGACATCCTCCACAACTCCGTTCACGGCTCCTCCAACGAGCAGCACGCAGAGGAGAAGATCCAGTTCATCTTCGGTGACATCAGCACAGACGCAGCAGAGCCCACAAGTGACGGAGAGGCAGACAAAAACATTCCAGGTAATCTGTTGACGTGTGAACTTTATGTCCATCACCCCGCAAGGTTTCATGGACGTTTTTGAAAAATTCTGCCAGCAAAGTTATGCAAGTTCAAATATAAAATGAACAGTTTTATTTCAGCAAAAGACCTGAAGAGTTCTTTGGATGAAAACAAGACCTCTTCAACACAAGACATGTCTAATAACTCATTGACATGAAGGTAAGACATTTTCTGTAGAAGAAAAACTAATTTAAGAAAAATATTTGAGAACTTTTGATGGCACAAAAAGCTTTATCAGAAATCGATCTTTTAAAAAGATGTTTTTAGTGAGAGTAATATCTGTTTTGCTTTTGTGCAGGTTTAAGAGAAAAAGGAAAGGGCTGTCTTGGAAAATAAATTTGAGCTCACATTTTTTAACTTGTTCTAACCATTAGCAATCATGCACCCATCCAACCAAATTACAAAACTAAAAACTGATGTCTCAAATGGTATGCTGGTATTAAGAAGGCCAAGGCCACATATGCAAAGAGGATCGAGGGTCAATTCATCTCACAAGACCCTCGGAGCATGTGGAGGGGCATTAAGTGCATAACAGATTATAAAGGAAGGAGTGAACAATGCCCCAAAGACCCATCTCTGCCTGATGCCCTCAACAAGTTTTATGCACGCTTTGAAGACCCGAACAGACCACCCAGCACCAGACTCACCTCACCACTGGATGAAGAGCATCTCAGCGTGACCTCAGCAGCAGTAAGAAGTACCTTCAGGAGGATTAATCCGCACAAAGCAACTGGCCCAGACAACATCCCCGGAAAAGTGTTGAAAGAATGTGCCAATCAGCTCTGTGAGGTGCTGGCAGACATCTTTAACACCTCACTTACCCTGGAGACAGTTCTCACCTGCCTGAAGACTGCCACCATCATCCCAGTCCCAAAAAGCTCTACAGTGACTGGTCTGAATGACTATCGGCCAGTGGCCCTCACCCCGATAGTCGCTAAATGCTTTGAAAAACTTGTCATGACTCACATCAAAACAACCATCAACATCAACGAGGACCCTCATCAGTATGCATACCGTGAGAACCGATCAACAGAGGATGCCATCTCCTCTGTGGTCCACACTGCGCTCAACCACCTGGAGCAGAAAAATTCTTACGTCCGTATGCTCTTTGTGGACTTCAACACCATGATCCCCCAAACCCTGATGGACAAATTATCCACACTAGGACTAAGCCCCTCCATTTGCAACTGGGTACTAGACTTCTTAACAAACAGACCAGTTAGTGAGGATCCACAACTTCTCCTCCTCCACCATAACCCTCAGCACTGGCTCTCTTCAGGGATGTGTGTTGAGCCCCCTTCTGTTTACTCTGCTCACGTATGGTTGTGCAGCTACCCATCCAGGCTGTCACATTGTAAAGTTTGCAGATGATACAGCGGTGGTGGGATGCATCACAAACAATGATGAGTCCAACTACAGACAAGAGGTGGAACACTTGGAGAGCTGGTGCAAAGAGAATAACCTTCACATCAATGTGAAGAAGGCAAAGGAGATGATTGTGGACTTCAGAAGGAACAAAAACACCTACACCCACCTGAACATAAGAGGATCTGCAGTGGAAGTGATCTCCAGCTACAAGTACTTGGGTGTACACATGAATGACAACCTCAGCTGGGGCAACAACACCACCAGCCTGATCAAGAAAGCTCATCAGAGACTCTACTTCCTCAGACGGCTGAGGCGAGCTGGTCTGGGAAGCTCAGTCCTCACCTCCTTCTACAGGTGTGCAGTGGAGAGCATCCTGTGCTCCATCATCAACGTGTGCCATGGAGGCTGCACAGCTACAGAAAGAAAAGCTCTGCAGAGAGTGGTGAAGGCTGCACAGAAGTCTGTTCAGTCTCCCCACCATCACAGACATCTACACCTCTAGATGCAGGAAGAGGGCCACCTGCATCGTGAAGGACCCCACTCACCCAGCACACACACTTTTTGTCCCACTCCCTTCAGGAAGGAGGTTGAGGAGCATTAAGTGTAGAACCACTAGACTGAGGAACAGCTTCTACTCTGAGGCTGTTAAGACTCATGAATCCCTAACCAGAATAATCACTGTGACAAAATCACATCATGTTGCTGCTGATCTGTTTCATGTTGCTGTATTCATGTGTGCTCATCTGCTTACACACTCATGTTCATGCTGATGTTTGACGTAATATTTTTATGTTGAGTGCTCAGTGTATATTTAGTTGATATTTTTCTTAGTTCATATCTTAGATGTTATTACCGTTTTTCTTTTACATTTTATTGTTGGATGTAACTGGGACCCTGTGTACATAATCTCGCTCCACCACATGTACAACATGAGGTGTGAATGACAAAACTCTGACTCAAATCAGTTTTTGAATAAAACAATCATTGACTGAGTTCGTCATTTTATAGAGAAACAATAATCACCAAGAGAACATGTTAAGTTTAACATTAAAAAGCTTTTAGTGTAGGAGCTCGCACCATAAAAAGTAAATCCAGTTTCATTAAGTTCCCCAAAGCAACATAAAATCTGCTATCACCTCAAAGCAGCGTACGCATGAGCTCCATGAGGAATCTTACAAAACTGGAAGTTTTTTTTGGATGAGCTTAACGTCAAAATCATGAGATTCTCAGCTGGCAACAAAAAAACTCCACAAGTGAGCCCGCTGTGATGCTCTCCAAAGGGGTGTCACTACATTAAGGACTCACCGCCCCCTTCCCATCAAATGATCTACATATTTCAAACTCCTGCAGTCCGACAAGTAGCGATGATCCAAACCGCTCAGATTAGATCGGTGTTTTCTTCCTTCATTTGAATCATGGAAACAGCCCGTCATTGTATGAATCATGCAACAAACAGGACAAATATAGCCTAAGTTCACACCTTTTGTGGGTGGTGTTTAAAGGCCACAGTTGGGGGTAAAAAAAATAAATCGACACATTCAAAGGCTGGTTTGATGGCTGCATTACAAACATTTCTGTAGCATACACAATTATAAATTTGTGCCTATAACCATTTCAGTTTACAGAAACTCCCGAGAACACCGTGTCCAACACAAGCGTACATTTTTCCACTGAAATAAAGTAGAACTCAAAAATATCAGAATACAAAAGGAATATAACTGATTTGTTACTGTAATAAAACCAGCATGCAGCAAAAGAAACACCTAAGAGTTTGTGTGGTAATATTTTAGTAGAGCAGTTGAAAGTCTGCCGATTTTGTAAAATCTCAGTAACTATTAGTCTCAAGTTGACGGTGTTTCTAGTTTTTGTCAGTTTTTAAAACAGCTTTTGAGAGGATAACTTTACTGGTAATTGGTTTGGTCAACAAACATTAACATTTACATTCAAAATGTAAGAAAAGCATTGAAGTATTGTATGCAACAGTTCTGTCATGATAGACTAAAAAGTACAAACAACACCATTCCAGTAAAAATATTAGCTTAAAACAACTTCAAATGTTTTTTAATATTATTCTCTGTTAAAATAGTATTTAAAGCTGTTTTTGTTCTGGTTTTGAATGACTGTTCCTGATGGGAAATTCAATCGGCCTGTTCTCAGGCTGGAGCGTCTTCCTCCCAGTCGTTGGCAGCCTCCATCAGGATGGCCTCGTCCAGGTCGTCATCTGCAGAAAAAGATCTCTGGAACATCTCCATAATGCTCCTCTGATTAGAGTCCTGAACACATCCAAACAAAAAGGTTAAAGAATAAATGTATACAGCTCAGACATGGCTGGTCTTGTGCAAAAGTGCCACAAACATTTAATTTATGAGGGAATAAAATGTACCTTTGAGTGGAAGCTAGCGTTCACTGCGTTATCTGAGAGGTTTGACTCGGATAAACCCACTTTTTCCAGGACATTCATTTTTGCCTGGATCATTGGCCTGGATCAATGCATAAACAAAATAAAGCAGAAACTGTTCACATGAATGTTATTCACATTATGCACGTCAGTCATCCCTCATTACTCAGCCCTCCTTTAACAAAAGTGTAAAACTCAATGTTCGTCTCAGTCATACATTACTTCCACCTGACTTGACACATACCAAAGGTGATCATCAGCAGTTCCCTTGGCAACCAGGTAGTGAATGTTCACGTTGCTAGTTTGGCCGATTCGATGTACCCTGTCCTCTGCCTGAATGAGAACCTGCAGAAAATAAAGGGAACGTTATTGATTTAAATGAAGTGTTTTACACTTTTATTTACCCACCATGAACTTCTAAAGCTTTAAGACTATTTTACAACTATATTTGGAAGGTTACATTTCCTCAGCTTCATAATTGGACAGGGCCTTCTCTGTAGCAGGACCAAGACTTTGGAACGAGTTACCCCTGCTTGTCAGACAGGCCCCCTCCCTCTCGGTTTTCAAGTCCCGTTTAAAAACTCACTACTATTCAGTAGCTTTCAACACCAGATGATCTGTGTTTGAACCTGTATGCTTCACACTGGTTAGTTGTCATTATCTGCATCGTTTTTATGTCTATATTTCTGATTTACTTCATTTTGTATATTGCTTTGTGCGTTACCTGTTGTTCCGTCTGTACAGCACTTTGGTTGGCCTTGTCGCTGTTTTAAGTGCTCTATGAATAAAATGGTACGGTATGGTATAATGTGCTCATAACAAAATGACTGTCTTTATTGTTGAAATTAAAAGTTGGAAAACATTCAAGAAAAAAAAAGTTTGTTTATTCTTGAGTCTGTCAAGGCTTCAAACATCTCCAAACTATGTGAAACAAATCAGTTTAGAGTAAAACCTTCAAACGGAGGCACCCAGGAGGCGTCATCAGACGAAGAACCACATCAGCTCACTTCTTTCGATGCAGAGAAGCCGGGGTTCTACAAAGAGTTCCTCACATTATATACGAGGCTGAGCCCGGCCATCCCAGAGGACACTCATTTCAGCTGCTTGTATCTGGGATCTTGTTCTTTTAGTCATATTAATGACCACAGGGGAGGGTTGGAACATAGATAGACCAATGGATCAAGAGCTTTCCCTTTCAGCATAGCCAACTCTTCACCCAACAGACTGAAGCAATGCCATCATTTACTCTGGTCCATCTACTGCTTCATCCTAACATCACTCGTGAAAAAGATCCCAGATACTTTAACGTCCCCACTTGAGACAGAGAACACTGCACCTTGAGATCCTGTCCACCACAAACAGAATCATAGACAAAAGGACAGCTACAGCAGAGTCCAAGTCACACCAGGAATGAACTCAACTTTGTGCCAAGGCCACAGATACAGCTCTTACTTTAGTGCAGGTACAACATAGTCCTAAAGTGACCTCTGCACCTTTGAAAACACAATCATAGGCCTTATCCAAGTCCACAAAACATGTGGACTGGGACAGTCAAACTCCCATGACCTCCTTAACAACTCCACAAATGGTAAAGACTGTTCATTGGCCAGGATGAAAGCCACACTGCTCCTGAACCCAAGGTTGGACAACCAGTCACAGCCTCCCATCCAACACCCTTAAATCTATCACTCTCTGTTCCCCCATTTGTATAGATAACACAAGCAAACCTCTGATGTTAGAAATGTCTCACGCAGACTGGCTCACGCAGTCACGCAGACCCTCTCACTGGTACATTTTCATCTTTAAATCACTTCTTGGTCTGCTGCCTTCATACATCTCCCCCTTCATGTCTCTGCATGAGTGCAGCTACAGCGTGCGCTCTCAGGACATTATTACCTGCAGTGTTCCCTAAGTGCCTAAGGGCCTTCTCCTACTCCACTCCCGTTTCCTGGAATATCTTACAAAAAGATCTGAAGCTCTCGACCTTGACCTCTCTAAGTGGCTTTAAGAATCTGTTGGACTCCTGGCAGGGACCAGTGCAGACATGTTCCTGTTTTTAGTTTTCTATATTTGCCTTAGAATCTAGCTGTTTTTATGTTGCTTTTCTTTTTTTAGCCATCCTATTTGTAAAAAAAAAAAAAAAATCTGTATGACTTTGTGACTGTTTGTTGTTGTCGCTGTTGTCCATTGTTGTCATCATTCTTTGTTGAAATCAGGTCTCTCTTGTACATGAGTCCTCGAGGCTCAATGGGATTTACCTGTCTAAATAAAGGTTGAATGAATGTCTCCAAGTACCCTAAATATCCAGCTCAACATCAGCAGGTGACCCTTACACCTGTTGCTGCTACACTGTGAACTTCTAAAACCAGCAAGTGACAAATACAAAATAAACAACAGAGCAAAATAGACTTAAAGAAGTATTACTCACTTCTGAAGTGACGTGTGGTTTTACTTCTCCCACAGAAAGCATTTACATGCACCGATTATGTTTTTAGTTAAATAGTTTATAAGAAAAGTTAATGCTTCAGGGGTTCGGTTAAAAATCATCCACATTTATTAAGGACTGTTTCAAAGACTGAATTGTTTGTTAGTGTAAAAATACTTCCACGGGTAGTGCTGCTACTGCTCTTTTGTTCTCCAGTTTTCTCTATAGCAGGAACACCCATTTTCCAATTTATCACAAAATAATGTCCGAGTATTGATTTTAAAGGAATATTTATCATATTTACGACCTTACGAACATGTTCTAAAATATGTGCTGTAGGTAATTATTAACCGTTATGCCTTCTTACAATGAATGTGACAACTTCCCAAAGCTTACCCCTGGGTTCCAGAAGAGCTCAGCAAAGATCACCAGGTCTGCAGCGTGCAGAGTGACACCCATGTTCGCAGCAGTTATGGACAGCAAAGCCACGCAAGCGTTGGATGAGAACTGAAACTTTTCAACCAACTGCTGTCGCTCCATCGACGGGGTCGTCCCATCAATCCGGATGAAGTCGACACCCTGTTGGGAATATGAAGCAATGAAGACTTTCAAAGTGCTCCGATTTCAAATAAAGCAGCACTAATCAAACAACTTTGTGAAACCATAGCTTTTGAGTGGGGATGTTAAGATTAAAACACGTTTTTTTACAGTTTACCAAAAGTTCATCTTACCTTTGTAACCAGTTCGGTGGCGATATGATCGAGGACTAATTTATGATGGGCAAACACGAGGAACTTCTCCCTCCCAGACTCCAGCATGTCTGTTATATACTCCCTGACAGGGACAAAACAAAATAACGTTCACAGAAAGATACTGGATTATCTATATGTATGACGTCTTTAGATTAAACCCACTGTGGTCCCATTGTTCTAACAAAATATTTTTTTACATTTTAATCTCAATTCACATCCAACGAGCTGATCTGACTCCCTGATCTCCAGCGTTAGGAAGTGTGCACTTACATGATGGCTTGTAGCTTAGCTTCAGCTGTGTGGTTATAAAAGACAAGGAGCGCTTCCTTCTCCTCCATTTTCTGAAAACGAGATAAGGAGCAGCACAAGATAAGAACTGACAGCAGATTCTGTTTGAAGATTTGATACGACTGCCATTACTCTGATGAGCACTGTGATTATGCACAATCATGCTCAGTAACTCACTCCCATTAGAGTGAAATAAGGCTGGTCTGAAGTATTCGGAGTCATTTAAAGGCATTTTTGTATTTGAGGTCTGAATAAAATCTCTCATGTGAGGAGAACTAAATCTTTTGCCTCAAGGAAAGAATTTACTTCATGCATTTTAGTCTCAGAGTCCTAAATATGACGACATATACTTTGGGGACAGGGTGCAAGATCTGGAAATATTAAACGTATTTTAGTTCAACTTAAAAGCCATTCAAGTTATCATCGTGTACAGTAAATATGAGATGAGAACATATTGCAAATGAGTGCAGATTCTCCCAAATTTTGATTTGAAGTCTTGACATTTATCACTATTTAAAAAATTGCCTAAAAAATTATGAACTTTTTCCAAATTTTGTCATTTATTTGACAAATTTTCCTCTTGCATCAGTAAGGCTTATTAAGCTTCTGAATATGAGTAATTTTGCATCTTCTGCTTTGACATGCAATGTCACAAGACATATGGGACATATGGGAGCTCTCAGGGTTTTTTTTTCCAAGACTGCAAGGTAACCTCTGCAAAAAAAAAAAGTTAACATCTGTGGCTTACGCTGTGATGATTCTTGGCCAACTCCTTGGCTGCAGCTGACAGAGCAGCTTTTGTGCGAGTATTGATCCCGTCTGTGGTCACTGTGACCACCTTACGCTGTTTAGCAGGAAGCTGAGAGAGGACATCAGATTTAAGGCGGCGCAGCATCAGGCACTCCTCCAACAACAGCTTTAACTCTCCAAGGTTAGACGAGCCCGAGTAGTCCCAGCCCCAGTTTTTCTGAAGGTAATGGAAGCAGAGATAAAAACAAACTGTTAACAGGAAAGGATGGGACATAGAAATGACAAATGATTAGCTAATTAGTTTATTGATGTTCTGTTAACCGCAGGTGATTGAAATTTCAAACCAAAACAGATTTCTCTGACTTGAGTTACCTCTCTGGCGTCACAGTAGCGCAAGCCAAACTCATGGAAGCGAGGGAAGAGTGAAGGTCTGACAGCCAGGATCTGGGTGTAGAGCTCACAGGGTCTGGACATCGCAGGGGTCCCAGACAGGAGTATCACCCTCTTTGCTGCCTGAACATTTTTTATTTTACAGTAGCTCAGATCAGATCACTATTAAATACACTATAAATAATGCTTTACATGTGAAAGTTTGGTCCTTACTGAACATTTAGTGGTTGTAATACATTTATCTGTTTTTCTTATTACCTTTAGCAGAGGTAAGGCAGCTTTACAGCGAGCAGTCTTTATGTTCTTTAGAAAGTGAGACTCATCCTGTACAGAAGAAAACATGTACATTTTAAAGACGAATTTAAAATAATTGAATTTGGAAACAGCACGGTGGCACAACTGGTAGAGCTGCTGCCTCAAGACGAACAGGTTACCCCGGTTCAAATCCCAGTCTAGGGGCTTTTCTGGGTGGAGTTTGCATGTTCTCTCCGTGCATGTGTGGGTTTTCTCCGGGTACTCCAGTTTCCTCCCACAGACCAAAAACATGCATGTTAGGCTGATTGGTAACTCTAAATTGTCCCTAGGTGTGAATGAGAGAGTGGGTGGTTGTTTGTCTCATTTGTCTTTATGTGTCCCTGTGATGGACTTGCAACCTGTCCAGGGTGTACCCCGCCCCTCGCACAGTGATAGCTGGACATGGGCACCGGTGACCCCCGCGACCCAAAAAGGAAGAAGCAGGTAAAGATAATGGATGGATGGATGGATTGGGAAATGTCCCTGCTTGATTAACAGCTCACCATAATGAGGACACTGAAGGAGTTTTGATGGGGCTGCTTCCCAACCCTACTCAGCAGGTCATAGCTGATGATGTTGACCAAACCAGATCGCATATCATCTTTGGCCTTTACCACCACATTGATGCTGTTGGGACTCAGAGAGGGAAGCCAGCGTCTGAAGGCCTACAGGCAAGAGAAACATAAAGCTGTTGAAACAAAACAGCAATAACTCTGACTTTAATTTAATCTACTTCTTTTTTTCACTGCTGGGTATACACACATTTGACTTGTTAGTGATCATTTTGAATCCATCATCTAGCAAATAATCAAGACAGCAATGTTTTATTTGATGTGTGTTGTAGCGCAAATGTTCTTGGCTACTTATTTTATCCCTGCCCATTTGCAGCTTAGTTTAAAGGCATCAAGTTAAACTTTCTATGCAACTCCCATTTCCCCCCAAAATAAATAAAATAAAACATGAATTACAGTCCAGATAAAAACAAACCATGACAAATTAGGTGTCCTCTGTAATGGGAAACGTGCTAAACTAGTCTATGATTTCAGCTTCTGACTGACTGGGTTTGATCCAAAGTTTTTAGGACAAACCATTGTGTCAACAGAGACGTGGTGAATCTGTTCGAAGATTGTGCTGATGCAAGTGAATAAAATTTTAAAAATTAAAAAGCTGCAAAACAACACTTGAGAGAACGACTAATAACAAAATCCTGATTTTAATACCATGAGAAGGCATCTATTATGTATTTCAATTTGTAAATAAGAATGTGTCAAACATTCCACAGTTTGTCGTTAAACATGATTACAAATTTAAAACCAGCAGACTGCAGGTCTAAACATGTTCTAAATATATTTTATAAAAAGACTAATTAAATATGAAAGTAATGTTCACATAATCCATAACATTAAATAAAAACCAAACCAATAATCAGTAACATTTAGGTGAGCAATTATACAGCTGAATGTTTTTACCTCAGCCCATGTGAATCGTACAGACGATGGAGTCACCACCAATAAAGGCCACTCGTTCCTGTAATAAGCTGCGATGCAGATGGCCTGTACCGTCTTCCCCAGGCCCATGTCATCAGCCAGGAGGAGGCGGCCTTGTTTAGACACCGCAAAGCTGCAACCATGCAAAACGTATTCAAAATAAGAACTAAAGTACAAAAGTACTGGCTAATTTTAAAACGTTAATGTGCACAAGAATGAGAAAATTATAATTAAAATGGCATTATTTGGTCATGAGTTATTGGCTATACAATGCAGAGGAAGCAGTACCGGCTGCCCAGAGATACCTACTTGACTCCCTCCCTCTGGAAGGGCATCAGGCTGGAGGTGAGCGAGGGGTCGATGTTAGAAAGGTCTGCCTCAGAGACAGCTAAAGACCTGGCTCCAGTCCCATCAAAGCTGGCAGAGAAAGCCTGGATTACTGCTCTGGGAAGAGGCTCCACCTCCACTGCTGCTATCCCACGGAGCCGATCCACTGAGTATGGAACACAGCACACTTAGACAAGATGGCCAATGGCAAAAAGAAACAATGAAATGGTGTTACTCACTTAGATTTTTGTAATCCTCAAGTGCAAAGCTCCACTTTCTGGTGGCCACATCTGCAACACAAGCCAATAGGTTTAACCTATAAGAAGCAATACATTAACAATTGAAAAAGTTGTGATTTTTACCATAGTTTTTGGTGGGCATTTGCTTAAACACCGCTATGACCTCAGCATGGTAAAGGATGTCAACCTCAAACTTTGTTCGAGACACCAGGATGCACTGCCCCCGCACAGTGGCCCCAGGTTTCTGCCATCCGTTACAAAGTCTCAGCAGTGCCGACAGGGCTGCACCGTCACAAGGTCGGCTGGAAGCTGTAACATCCAACGCTTCCGCTCCCTCCAGAGGCCTCAAAGACACAGAAGGAATGGCAGCTGCCTGATCCACTGCAACATAAGGTCAAGTAGAAAAACATCCCAATTGATGTAACTGAGTTTGCTTTAAAAAAAAAAAAAAGGTGCGTGTTTTATCAGCAGATCCCCGTACTTAGCTGTCCATAGTCATCCAGACTGAAGTTCCATGTTTTTGTTGTTGGGTCTAAAGCAGAGAAAATATTGCGTTAATCCATGAGAGAGCATATACTTGAGATTACAATTTAACCTATACATACAGAAAACTAATTTTTAGTTTGGATCATCTTCTCTAAGAGACATGACTGTGGGTCTTGTTGCCCTGGCAGGATCTTACCATAGTTCCTTGAAGCGATGGACTTGAAAACAGAAATAAGCTCGACATGGTAGCTTACTTCCACTCTGAAACGGTTCTCTGTATGAGGCACACACTTTCCCCTGACAGAGATGGCAGGCTTTTTTGCAGGTACAGCAGTCAAAGAGGTGCAGGGCGAAGGCAGCTGCACTGCAGAAACTTGTGCAGGTTTGCTGGCTTCCTTGTAAAAGGAGCTAACTAGACTTCCAGATCTGCTGGAGGTGACGATAGATTTGGGCTGACCACCGCCAAACAAGACAGGACCATTCAGGTGTTGATCTGTCTGAAGATGAGCCAGTGACTTTAAAATACAAGAATTATACACAGCTTTACTGTATTCAATTCCTTTCACTTTTAAGTGCATAACTCACCTGTTTGGAGGAGTTTTTCAGTGTATTTTGGTTGAATTGACTGCCTGCCCCAGTAGGCTGCTGAGGTTGCAGGGTTTGGTTGCTGAAGCTCTGAAAGTCCTTCTTAAATGTTGGTGGACCACAGCGCTTAGATGCAAAGTTGGAGGTTATGTGAGCATCAGGACCCAGTGAAACACCCTGTCTGGGAGGCTGTGCTTGGACTGTAGATCCACTGAACCCCGCTGAGGGTTGCTTGCTGGTGCCAGTAGTTTGTCCAAGTCTTTGGGCTCTCCGCTCCAAAGCTTTCCGTCGGTTCTCCTCAATCTTTCGCTGCTGCTCCACAGTCAGCTGACTGGACATGTTCGCCGCTAGACTCCAACCAGCACTCCTTAAAACCTGAGCGAACCTTCAAGTTAAATTATTATAATGATAGATCCATGCAGCGTTGACTTTGACATGAAAACAAACAACGTTAGCTGCACTGCTTGAGGCTACAAAGGTTAGCAACCAAACATGTCAGGTTGTTCAAATTAAATCTTACATAAAATTGGGAAATCAGTTTTGGCTGCTTAAATGATAAATAATGTTCTATAAAGAGCAGAAACTGCCAGATTTGGGAAGAAAACAAAAACCAAGCAAGATAAAGTACCAGTCACTTTCTGCTAACAGGCTAGTTCAGAATCAGCCGCCCAGGAAGTGACGTATTTAAACAAATCGGCACGTGTGACAGACGACGAAGTAGCGTTTACGTTTATTAATATTTCATTTTTACTGTCTGAACATTCACTACTCTAAAGTTTTGTCGGTTTGGAGTTTCTTGTTGACATTTTATTTTATTTTTTTTGGTTATTTGACGACTTTAAAAACCTAAAAATTACTAAAGACGATGTTTTCTCAATGCGCATGCGCCAATTGGAACAAACGCCGGTACATCTTAATGCTCTTGTTTACATTTTTAGGTTATTATTTCACGTAAGTTTTGGATCATACTTGGTAGAAAATATATTCAAGAGTACTTCTGAGCATATCTATGTATCGGTGAGTACTAATTCTTATTTTTTTTCCTCCATTGATTCCTTAAAGCTTTTTTTCTCCCAAATATTCATTCAACCTTTATTTATACAGGTTAATCCCACTGAGCCTCTGGGGCTCATTTACAAGAGAGTCCTGAATATATACTCTTGATATTTACTAGAGATGTACTAGCTTGACAAAAGTTAGGTAGCTATTTTTATTTAAAGAAAAAATACTTTGTCCCTATAGGCCAAAGTGCTTATACAGTCAAAAGAGACATTAAATCACACATGGCCAAAAAAAGTTGCCACCAATAAAAAGGTCACACACTAATACTTCGTTTTTAGCTTTGATTACGGCATGCATTTACTGTGGCATTGTTTCGATAAGCTTCTACAGTGTCACAAGATCTATTTCCGTCCAGTGTTGTATTATTTTTCACCAAGATCTTGCAGTGATGACTAGGTACTAGGCGTGATGGATGCATCACTTCACCTGCCTCTTTTCTTACCCTGATATGCCCATCACTCTGGAACAGGGTAAATCTGGACTCATCAGACATGACCTTCTTCCATTGCGCCAGAGTCCAATCTTTATGCTCCCTAGCAAACTGAAGCCTTTTTTTCCCAGTTAACCTCACTGATTAGTGGTTTTCTTAAGGCTACACAGCTGTTCAGTCCCAATTTCTTGAGTTCCCTTCTCATTGTGTGGAGATCGCCGATCACGATCATTCAGGGTTTTTTTCCAGCCACATTTCTTTCTCGAAGACGATGGTCCCCAATATCCTTCCAGTTTTTAATAATGTGTTGGACAGTTCTTAACCCAATTTTAGTAGTTTCTGCAATCTCCTTAGATGTTTTCTCTGCTTGATTCATGCCAATGATTTGACCCTTCTCAAACAGACTGACATCTTTTCCACGACCACGCAATGTTTCTTTCAGAATCAGAATCAGAATACACTTTATTGGCATTGCATCGAGATACAACGAGAATATGTACGTACAGTCGTCCGAAAGATGGGCGGAGTGCACGAAGCTGCGGCTATTAAATAGCACGGCCTTCTTATTCTTATTCAGAATAATATTTTGCTTAGATGAGAAAAGGAAAGAAAACATGAGGAGAGACGGTATAAAAAAAGATCTCTTGCGCCGTGTCCTAGACAGGGCATGATTTGAGGCATCAAAAAAACTACCACAGCAAAGCAACATAAACAGACGTTATACATGTACATATAGGCCGGTGAAAACATTGAATTTTTATGGGAAAGTCGTAGCATAGTCCAGAGCGAGGCTCTGTTACATGTCCACAGCCTTGGGGAAGGGAGTGGTAAGGAAACAGTCAAAGCATCTTTGTTATTTTCAAAACATTCCAGGAGTTGAGATAAGTCTGGCATCAAGGCCACAGTTTGGGTCAGGCAGAACTCGTGAATTGCTGTTTCTGCCTTTTAAAGTCTCGCTGGTATATATTCCTCTGATGGAACTCCAAAACAGCCGAATTGATCCTTTATGCCAAAAGTCGAGCTCACAGCTTCTCCAGATTATTCCCACCATACATGAGTGCTGCCAGTGAGTTCACAGTCCTGTTAACAGCCTGCTCCAGCTCCCTGCTGCAGCTCCCCAAATTCAGTCTGAGCGCTGTCGAGCTTCGACACATCCCCAAGAATTTATAGTCAATCCAGAATTCACCAACCAAACAGCAAAAACCAGTTGTCATCATGAATCCAATTTGTTTCCGTCGAGGTAAGAGGGTCCTCCTTACCCTGACTCCTGTCGGGAGAAGTTGATCGATTTTGGTGTTAGACCAGCTGATCCTTCGAATTAAGAGGTATGCAGAAAAAGAAAAAAAAAAGAGTCTTTTTAAGGGTTCACAGGACAAAAGAGCGCAGCAGGGAAGCGGATGGGGGGGGGGGGGGGACAGGGAAACAAGTCTGGTTTCACCGGAGGATAGAGAGAAAAAACAAAACATGGTTGTTTAAGAAATGAGAAACAACTCATTGCACCAGTTGGGGTTAAATAACTTGTTGTCAGCTGAAGGATAATCGTCCATGCAGTAATTATCCAGTAGGAGGCTCGTACCTGTTTGCTTAGTTAAATCCAGGTGGCGACTTTTTTTTTTTGGCCAGGCAGTGCATCTAGGGCCTTCTCTTACTCCGCTCCTGTATCTTGGAATACCTTGCAAAAAAATCTGAAGCTTTTGACCTTGAGCTCTCTAAGTGGTTTCAAACAACTGCTAAGTTCATGGCAAAAACCAATGTAGACATGTTCCTGTTTTTACTTTTCTACATATCTTTACAATCTAGCTGTTTTTTTGTTTAGTTTTTTTAATACCATTTTTTTCATTTTTCTTTCATTTATTCTTCTCAATTTTTATGCTTTCTTTTGTGATTGTCTATTGTTGTCTACTGTTGTCATCACTCACACTCACATTTCTTTAAATGCTGACATTTGTTGGTATTTTTGCATGTTGGGGGCAAAAAATGTTATAGAGGTAGGGCAGCCAACTTGGGACCAGAAAGGCGCAGGTTCAACTCCCCACCGTGCCCACATGTTGTAGTGTCCTTGAGCAAGACAGCTATTCCCTAATTTCTCGCTGAGCGCTTACATAGCTGCCCACTGCTCCACCTGGTGTATGTCGTATGTGATAGTAGAGAACTAATTTCTTCATTGTACAGTGACATTCAACAATGACAGCACATATCACTTACTTACTTATACAATATACAGTAAAAGAAAATACAATATTGATGTAAAGAAAGTAAAATTTTCAGAGCTTATATACTTTGATTAAAATTTTTAAAGCTGAACTTTTTAGGCCTGTTTGAATACTATTGTGTGAAAACATAATCATGTAAGTATATCCCACTTTAACACATTTTGTTAAATGTCCCTTAAATATCAGGAGTTCTGGTTTGATATTTATTTCTGACTATTATGTTTTTATTTTTACAATAAAAGCCAAGATCTTAACTTCAACTTGAATTGTTTTGTGTTGGGTTTTTTTATACCAAAAGTAAGTATTTACTTCTAGTTCTTATTGTTACGAAAACGGCTTGCCATAATTTTGTAGAACTCCTTTTTGGTGACTCCTAATCTGTGATATGTTCACAAAACAGCACTTTTTTTTCTTCTGGGGACCACTTGCTTATCAAGGCTGCAGGTTCGAGTCCGTCCAGCGTTGTTTGCCAAGTCTTGCATGAGTTTGCTCGCTGTGGAAACCCTTGAAGAAAGGAGAAGCTGAAAGAACAACATTCTTTTTATTCTTCTAACTTTCTGGTGAATTTCAGATATGTGTATTATTAGTAACATTGTTACAAATGCAATAATTCTCAGGATGTTCATCTGGACAGTTTCTTTCTTTTTTTTTTTTAGGTCCAGATGACTTGACTGAGAATTATTGGATTTGATACCTGGATGATTGAGCATGAACTTTGTTGCATTATTACAAATGTTTATTTGAAAAAGATTAGTCAGGAAAATTGCTAAAACTGGTCTTTTCCATTGTGGTTAAAATGCTAATAATATCCTTAATTTAGTACAAACTGTAACAAAAATAAACTACAATATCTTCTTTAGAGATGCACTGATAAGTTCACTGCACCCATATTTGTAAAAGTATTTATAGTTGTTCATGTTTTGGGGGGGTTTCTTGGACTGTAAGTGACCTATATTGACCATCATTGAATATATTCTAAAATCAAATTTAAGTTGAGCACTGTAAAGCTGTTTTATCCTCAAACATTTAGAAAAAGCACCCGTGTTGTGTTAACTGGAGTCCAATTTTCAACAAAAAGGAATGTTTAATCAGAAAGTGCTGATTCTTTGTTTCACCACACTTAAAGCTATTTATGATAGTGTTCAATATTTTTCCACAACCCTCTCATGCTGTCATGGTTGGCTTATTTTCAGTGCCTCTCTAATCAGGCATACTTTGCACTTGAGATGCTATGTAAGAGCCATCAGCTGCAATTTGCTGCCAGAATAGAAAAGCAGCAGGAGTGAGAGCTCAATGTGGCAGTTTAAAGTTGGCAATTCATTAATGGTCGCCCCATGATCACTAACCTGACTGCAATCATATATGACTTCTTACAAAAGATGGAGTACACGTTTTGTGGCAGAGTACGACTTCAGGTTATATCGAGTATTTGGTTATGTTACTCAGCTGACTTAAAACTGAGTTATTCTGTGTTGGTCCACTACTCAGTTATCTTCATAATGTCACATTTTTCAAATCGGCCAAGTAGTTTTAAAAAAAGTCATACAAGCCCTATTTAATGGAAATTTTAAGGTTGTTTCAAAAGTCACAAGTACATTGAGAAGAATGTGAAATCCTGATGTCCTATTTCATCAAAAGTTGCCCCTTCTTCCATTTCCTTTGAGATTATTCTTCAGTTTACACAATGGCCTGTTCAAAAAGTGCCACTTTTACTTGTTTGTGTATGATTAATGTACTGCTGTGAGCATTTGTTCTGCTCCTCCGCTGAGAGGTGCCAGATGGAGCGATAGTGTTTTTGCTCCTGTCTGAGTATGTGACTGACATAGCTCATATTACAGGGTGAATTTCAATAAAACTCTCAGGAAATAATCATTGGATGTAACAATTGGATCCAACATAACTCAATATGGCCATCACACCCAACTCACCTCAGAAAACACAAAAAATGGCTGTAACCACATTGATTTTACATATTTCAAGCTAAAATGTCAAGTGGACGTGGCTGAGAGCTTTAACACTTCCTCTTTCTTGCAATGTTAAGACTTCACTTGGAGTTCAAGGTTTGACCCAAACAGCTACAACTGTCATTTCTCAACGATCTTGATCTAAAACATTTATTTTCTAAATTAACAGGGACTCAAGGTTGCATTAATGGACAGCTCTGCGTAAGCTGATATAACTACAGTATGTAATTCAGCACAATTCATTTTAAAAAAAAAAGCAAATGTGTGATGTTAAATTAAATATATGTTTTCATTTTGAGGGCATCAACATATCTCAAATGGATTATTTTGTAATCTAGACCACCTCTGCCCCCCCCCGACGCCCCCCTGCGTGAACGGG